TCGGTGTATAAATTTGCCACTAGGGGTGCAGATCTTAGTCTGAGTGATTGCTTGGTCTAACTGAAATTCATCGTGCAGTTAATGACACTCGAGTGTGTTGAAGAAGATGAAGAAAATATTCTCAGTCCTTGAAATGGATTGGATGTTGGATATTGTGAGAAACTACATTCTTGTTCACATGATCCAACTATTTTGCACAAAGTCTTGCTATTGGGAAAACACAAAACAACTTTTGTAGTGGATTATGTAACACCGATATATTAGCATTCTTTGTGTTATATGAAACTTATTCGGGCAATAACAGTTTGGTGTGAATGCACACATTTGCGGCACACAAAATCTCTCCTGTCATGCCTGCATTGAAGTATATAATACAGGTGGTCTTCATAGTAGCCACACACATATATTTAGAATATGCTTTGCGCACAAACAGACAAAGCCGCATTCAGGAGTACCCCCTACCGGTACTAACAAGCCTCATAGTTTGAAGACACCCGATATGCGGATCACACACACACACAAACCGATACGAAATACTGCCATACAATTTCCTTCTAGACGAATCATAGTCCACATTTCATTGAGTAATGGTTCACTACACTGAGTCAAAAACTCTCATGACTTTACTGTCCACGCTGTTTGTTCAATCAGCCTGTTTTCAGTTATTTGAATTTCCAACTGTCTCAAAGAAACTAAGTCTTCGAGAATCACTGTCGTTCTCCGTCAAACATTCAAACCGAGTGAATCTGAATAATCGGAAATTACTTAAGTTGAACATGTATGAATAACAAGCGCGAATGATATGAAATTAAGTCGATGAACAAAGGTTATATTAGTCATTCTCCTGACCCTCAGATAGGAGATGATAACTAGAGATAGTAACATACAACATTTCATTGACGAATTCATCCCGGGCCCGTTTTCGCCAACATACTCCCAAGTGAACGTTGCTTTGTGAATAAAGTCTTTCCTATACTTTTCTTGTGAGATGAGTGAAAACACTCTCGCTTAATTTGTCGTACACTTTCAAGGAACACGAATAATTCTACTGTTAGAATCTGTCATGGGATCTCTCCTAATTGTTGGTATGGTTGTGTTCTCTGAGCTGGATAGTTAATTTGCGAAGCTTTCATCACCCTACTAGGTGACACCTCCAGCGCATTTTTCAATTGGAAGTGAACGTTTAGATTTCTCCACGAGTTTGTTAATCATCTTTCGCGGTGACCTTGGATGTGACTGGTTGTTTTTGTGTGTTTTCACACCTTCTAGGCTACCTGTATTGGAACTGATTGTTTCTTTGACTTGAACTTTGACCCTTTGTGTGTGACGTTTCTTTCTTATCGGTTGATAAATTTTGTCAATCTCGATGTGTCTATTGATTGATGATTCACTAGAATGCCAAGCTTCTAAAAATTCTCCAGCATTTTTGTTGTTTCCTCTGTCTAATATTTGACCATTGTCCCAATCGAACTGATGTCCGTGGTGGTCTGTATGTAGTGAAATGAGGGAGTGGGTGTCATGTCTTTTGACGGCTAGCTTATGTTCATGGATACAAAGATGAAGAGGACGTCCACTTTGGCCAATGTAGTGCTTTCCGCAGTTGTTACAATTTATTTTGTAGATGTTGGTTTTTAGCTTCTTTCGGTGTTGACATAGAACTGAGTGAAGTGATTTTGTTGGTTTGCGTGCGACGTCAATTCTTAAAGGTTTGATGAGTCTTGCAGTGACTTCTGATTTATCAAGATGGGAGTGCTGCAATGAGTCTTGGCTCTCTTGAATAATGTTTGTATGCAATTCCTCTTGTGTGCTATTGGATTGTTGCTGTTGTAATTCAGTACTTGATCTGTGCGATTTGATTTTACATAAACATGGGTTTCTAATTCCCCTGTCGTTGTGCGCTTGACTAAGACGTCACAAAATGGGATTTTGTTCTCGGATTTCTCTTCTGTTGTGAATTTGATGTCGTTGAAGGTTGTGAGTTTTATCTAACTCGTTTCTTCTGATTATCACAAATGTGTCGTCTAGGTCGCGTTTTCAAATCTTGGGTTCGATCTTTGGTAGGATTATGTTTTCGAGCCTTTGCATCACTGCTTCTGCAATCAAACGTGATATTGGCGATCCCATTGGTGTTCCTTTGACTTGTTCATATATTTGGAAGTACGTTGTTGGGCATAGGTTTATGCATTCAATCCAGCTTGTGTGTTGCATTTTTGATTGTTGTGGAAGATGTTCGTCGTTGCTGAGTAATTGTTCCATCGTCTCCTTTGCTAGTTTTTGTCCGATTGAGGTCACCTGGAGAGATGATTAGTAAACTCGTGGAGAAATCTGAAAGCTCACTTCAAATTGAAGTATGCGCTGAAGACGTCACCTAGTAGGGTGATGAAAGCTTCGCAAATTAACTATCCACCTTAGCATCAAATCTTCTCCATCATATCTAAATCTTACGAGCGGAACACGCTTCTCTCTGTTCTTAAGTAGGAAGACTTCGCCAAAAGGCAAGGATCTACCAGAGAACAATTATTCTTTCTCCATGAGTGCCTTCATCACCGAATCTTACCGACCAGTGTCAGATACAAACCACCAGTCAACTGCCCAACGGGATGGAAATTGGTAGAACAATGTGGAAGACGAATGGTCAAATTAATGATTACTGACACACATTATCGGATCAACAAATAATAAATCTCCAAAAAGAAAAACTAGAGAAAACCCTGAACCAGGAACACCTGTCAACGCTGATCACCACAGGTAAGTAAGTAGAAAAAGAAACCTCATCAAATCTCTTCTGACAAGAATCAGTTGCAGATGCATGGAAGATAGATTAGATTGCAGAGCAGAAGTAGAGTGCGTCGGTGGTATAACGGTTAGGACGCTCGCCGATCATGCACATGGTACGGGGTTCGATCCCCGGCCGACGCACTCTTTACCTCGCTAGACCAGAAATAATGCTGGTGCAGCGGAAAGGTTGGGAATGAGGCTAGCAACCCCATCCTGTAAAATAAACACTGCTACAGAAACTTCAAGCAACTAGCTTGAAGCCCTATGTCCCACTGTGGAACGTGAAGGAAAAAAACTGTTACAGCAAACCAGCCAACAGCATGACGCTCGACGAACATTCGGAATGAAATGTATGTGGCTTTAGTGTGCTCTGAAGATAGCTTCAACTGGTACCTAACGCCATTTCCTCTAATAGTAGTTAGAAGATAGGGTACCACTTAGGCATCCAATAATTACGTGGACAAGAACATAGGAGAGGAAAATTAAAGCTGACCCAACTAGAAGTGGTGAAGAGAAACCAAGTGAAGTTGTGACAGTGAAGCTGTTAGTTAGACATGGAATACATTGACCATTGATAAGCATACAGACAGCGCCGACTAACAAATGCTGTGCCGAACTCAGGTTCATTCCAGTGTAAAAACCAAACTCGCAAAACCTGTACACACTCAGACAACCAAAAGCTACTTCTTTAAAAGGAGTGTATTTCAGTGGATATAAAAGATATTAAGAAAGTTCATTTCAACAAAGTAGAAATCAATAAAAATCTAATAAACAAAAATTTCAGTAGCAATCTTCATTCACTTTCTCCAGTTTGTTCATGTTCTCGAAATTTAAGTTGGGCAGAAACCTGGACCGTTGACTGGATGAGCTTGTATGTTGTTACTGAAATAAATCGTCAAACAATTACAAAGTAATTTGTAATCAGCTTTGTTATCTCACACATCGAATAACTATTACTGGTAGCCAGTGATAATGCGTATAAAATGTAGTGCTTCTTGTTTAATTGTTATGTTTTGTGGGCATACGTCAGTTTACCTATTCCTTTGGAGCCAGATACATTGGTCATTCGATGCGTGAGCTGCCTGGAAAGGTTCCTGCTCCTGATCGCAGAATTGTAGTAGTTCTCTCTTTAGGAGTGCGATATTCGAATATCTATGGAGCATCGGTCGTTCCATCTCCACAAACGCCTTCTTCAAAGTAATCTACGAAGTGCAGAACAACCTATAACGAGTAATATTCTGTCTTTTCCTTTGCATTGCTGAAGCCTAACGATTCATTTAGGAAAATCGGATATTTGCGTACACAAGGAAGTTATTGAATCATATCGAATATCATGGCTACAATCGTGTTGATTTCTACTCACTTAATTTTAGTTTGTTTGATTTTCTATTTCTGCCTAACTCCCGTATGTCTTTGGAACTCTTATGTAACTCAGTATTTTCCTTCTATTCTATGTGAATCCTCATTAAATAATCTTACTATGTAACTCTGATACACATATTCAACTCCTCATATGCATTGACAAATATCGACAACTATTTTTCCGACAACTCATCACTTTCGGTGCTATCGTCCATTGAGAAGAAATGTACATAAATGCTATTTTACAGCTAACCTGGAGAATGATTTCACCGAAAGGAGGCTCTTTGCTGAACTGTGTGTTTTGTCTTCAAATTGTTATTTATCGAGTAAGGTGACTTGCTGAAAGTTTCAGACACAAAACCAGCAAATTAATCACCAGGGGTAAATTACAGCCTTCACTAGCACCTACACAACATTCATCAAGTGCAGTGAAGTCCTCTAAGATTTGCAATACATCCAAGGACGTAGAATCGTTTAGTGGACTTCACTTTACAACGAAATCATCTAACAAATTTCAAAATTTGACATTCGACTTAACCATGCAACATTCAAATAAACGCGGCTGGATAAATCTTCTAATTTCTGTGCTTGTGCTAATATTACATGCTACAAAAATGAAGTCAGATGAGATTCTCTGTTGGGAACAAAATGGACGTCACATACTTTGCCACGGGGTCAAGATACGATGAAAACTTCGATTCAGCAGTGAAAGAAGTTGATAAATCTAATAGTGAGTATTTCGGAGAAAAGGCCATGGCACAAACATATTGCAGTACAAATTAAAAGTATGTCTAGAAATGTCTATTTACTTCTATCAGCTTTAACGAATTACTTATGGATATAAGAATACAACGACTCACTAGAGCATTCTGCATCGAAGTTCACCGATTCGTTGTGAGAATTCTTCTTTCGTATCAGGGATTGGCGACCATAATCTCTCAGCTACAGCAGCACCTCTGGGCCTGCATATGTATGTCACAGAGATGAGAGAAGATACTTCGTTTTAGTAAATAAAGCAAGAAAAATAAGCTCACACTAAACGTTTTTCTCAGGCTACTCAAAAATCAGTCCGTCATAAACTGGATGTCTCCCTGCATCGTTTCTTGTGTGAGTCTCGCCTATGTAGCATATTCGAAGGCGAATAACTCAGTATCTGACCAACTGCACCATTCGCTGATGACAAGATGTAAGTCTTAGACAGGCCAGCGTCAACCTAGACTGAAAATTCAGTAATGGTCATTTGATATCGAAATCAGTGGGACCATCAGCTCCATCCTTAGCGGTCAACATTCAAAAATAGTGACTGTTAAAAAATGCGATACGTTGAAAACAGTCACAGGAGTGCCGAAATTCACAATTTATCTTTATGATATTTGTTTGATGATTGGCTAACAATGCAGTTCCATCGATTTGTCCATCCTGTTTCATCTGAACCTGAAGGGATGTCATTGAATACTCAAGCGACATTTTCACCAAGTTGTCTTGTCTATTCAGAAAATCCCCATATATACTTGGTTCATTTCCACCCAACACAACTCAAACCATTTTGTTAAGTGGTCGAAAGCTGATAGCACCAGAAGTTCAATGTGGGATATACAAACTGTACTTACCATGCTAGAGTGATCACATTGGTCTCATCCACACTTGTGCCCCACAATGTAGCTTCACCACCAATGACTAATGATGCCTCCTCGACCGAGCCTGTAAAAGACATGATAATTATTATTATCATCGCAGGAAGTTAATAGACTGAATGACAATTAGTGTAATTTGAAAATTCACTGGTGAATGAAACATTTGCAATTCAGATGGTTTTGTATGTTAAGGTTTGATGTGTTGCTGTCTTCTGAATGAGAGGAGTTGGCACTACCGATAAAGTTAGACAGTGAGTGCTGATTAAGAAATGCTCAGTTAAATAACTAATTTATGGTGCACTATATCTGAAGCGTCGGAAAGACTAGGGGAACCTTCAACACTCTGATGTACTCAGCATAAAGAAGGAAAATCGGATTTTCGACACAAATAATAAGACAGTCACTTCTTATATATGGATCAGAAACTTGCGCTGGGCGTCACTGGAAGCATTTCCAGCAAGCTGCAGACTTTTGTCAACAGCTGCCCTCTCTGGCTCGATATCGGAGATCAAGTGGCCGGCTGGTGAGAAGCAATTAGCAACAAGAAACTCTGCGAATGAACCAATCAACAATCTATTGCACAACAAATATTTGGGAGAAAATGGACATGAATACGTCACATGCTGAGGAGACCATCGGGTGAAATTTTATATTTGGCCATCGCAGTCTCATCCCTATAAACGAGGGAATATTCTCCTCCAATACATAATCATTTGCAAGTAAAATACCGACAGTAATCAGACACATCATCCCTTATCTTTGATCCAACTACAATATCTACCACTTAATCTCAATTACAAACATGACATTCTGTCAACCCATCGTCCAAACACTATTTGGAAGCGAGATCAAGATGAAGTTTGCATCCACATTCGTGAACAAAATTCATGCTGGAGCTGCAATAACTACAGGTTTTGTAGTCCAACGAGTGATTTGCGTTCAAGACCATTTCTACGAACTCACTTCATAATGTTCGCCCTGTTCTCATCGCTACTGTTAGTCATCACTTTCGAAATCAAATAGATGCTGTGGCATATGCAGCAGATCACAAGGTTAAAACTGTGATTGTCTCAAATTTGTACAGTACTAGTCTAGTTGAGTAACTGATAAATTCTTCTACCGCATGAAATGTCTCATCACTAGATGTGATCAGACTGTGTCAGATTAAATAAGCAGCAAAACCAGTCTGAGACAGGATACTGATGATTATGCAATTGGACAATCTGGAAGACCAGCTTCATACAACTAACATATTTGCTCATTTGTTAACTTAGCCCTCCGAGGTACGCCGTATTTATAAATGATGTATTAATGAATAATGCAGTAGAATTGTTGGTGCGGAGTTTTCTATTCTTCCGTCTTCATTTACGTGGGTTCTGGCAATCAGAAGTAATTGACGAACCAATACTGGTGTCGAAATCACCAATCATCAGTCCTAATACTGACGCCAACATAAATTAATTCATCCATCGCTCTTCTTTCGCATCAAGTTTCGGTTGAAATTATGCAAGCTAAAGTGCTTAGTCGCGAGCTACCTACATATTCTCTTCATTATTTTTGAATTCCTATACGTAACAATCTTTAGTTGTTATTTCTGTTACCTCATATTGTGCAATTTCAAATTTCCCACCGATTGACATTGTTAAATTAGGAATAAGCTCGAAATTAAGCAAATCCAAAAGATAATGTCAACAAATACTTTTGGTTAATGGCACCTTTCCTATTAAATGTATCCGATAAACCAACTTACCTCCAAATTCTCTGATATCTTGTTCGTAGTATTTAATCCAATCATATTCGTTATGTAAATCACTTAAAACCCAATCACCAGAAACTATGACGTTGCATTTTTTTCCAGTAGCATTCCTGGTATATTCTTTCCAGTGTGAGGCTTTCCAAACATGAATGACTGTTTTTTCGTCACCCTATAAGATGGAACCAAACATTTATGCAATTACTGGTTGTTTGTTGGTCGAATACAAATGTCTTTTAATGAGAGACATGTAACATAAGATGGCAGTCTGGAAAGTGAGAGACACCTTATTCTACGGATGGGAGATTTCGATTAAACGGTGCTTACAAGGAGGGATTTCTTAGCTATCTGAGATGTCTTCCGACTATCTTTGAAGAGGTGTAAGGTGTTTGTCTATCTTTAATAGAAAAAATACAGAAAGTGCGTCGGCAGGCAATGTAACCCGGGACCATGTGCACGGTCGACGAGCGTCCCAACAGCTGTGCCACCGACGCACAGTGGCAGTTGTGAAATGAATACCGATTTATGATAATTCAGAGTAGTGAAGAACGTGAAACGTATTTCATCTTCTCTGAGACTCGTGGACTAGATGTATCCTCACTCCACTGAATAATAGCAAAACCAGTGGGACTAAAACTAAGGCATTAACACGTGGTGTCATCTTATTGCTTAAATGTCATAGAAAACCAACCGAAGTGATGCAGTAAGCAGGAAATCCACAATTTTTCAAAACATGAAACTATCTCTGGTTGTTCACTAATTTAATTTCCACAATGAGACCAAATAACTCAACTCAGCGATTGTAATGTGAAGGTTTCAAGTTCAGGCACAAAGACTGATCTATTCCGCTTGGGTCAGCCGAGTTTACAGAACATGAGAATTCAGCCTGATTTATCATACTAAACCCTATTGTATAACTTTCTCGAGAAAACACTAGTTTACAGTTATACACTCATTGACACATGAGCATCAAATAAGGAAAATGTACTGCATGAGAGCTTTCTATGTTTTCGGTAATAATGTGATTTACACGCTCTCAGCTAAGTTGTTGTTGTCATCTGAGTGACTTGACTAGATTACTTACTATACAGCTGTGAATTTGAAGATTTCAATTCCGTTTCACCTTTGTTCACAGATTCCTAACGGTGTCATAAAACACCTGGTTCAATCTGTGTTCTCAGCAACCTCAGACAGAATGAGAACACTTCGTGTCCTCATGAATATGCTCGACAGGTGACACTTTGTTTGAGTGGGCTAGTGAGGGCTTCCATCCACAGACGCAGTTCATCCTGAAAATGTTCCTCTATATTCCAGCAAGGAATGAGTTTATTTTTCATATTTTTCTGTACATCAAAATTATCGTAGCGATGAGTTAATTTTTTAAAGAGTGAGGTTTCCAGCCTAACAATCAACCTGTCTCTATTCAAAAGTAAAGAAGTGGCTGATGAGCCAGAAGACCAGATAACAACTCACAGTTGATCATCCAATCGCCATTGATGAAACTCATCGACACCGGAGAAGTCCAATAGATATATGACAACACCAATAACAGGAATATGAAAAATATCCACACCATTGGGATCATGATATAAGGAAGAATCATCGTGAACAAACAAGGCTATAAAGTCATGTTAATACTCTAAAATGCTTATGAACAATAGGCGTTTACTGAACCACAATCCACCTTGTGAAATAAACACATCTGATAGTGTTGTGTGTCTAGACAAAACAATTATTACAAAACACATTTCTCAATACTTACCTGATATCCGTAATTCAAAACATCTTGATATAAAATAGATGTAATGGCGTTTTCTGAGTCAGCAATACTTTTGACAGTTTCCACAACTTTCGACACGTAATAGTTCAGTAATTGGGCGTATTTGCCAGGGAATTCCATTTATTGTATGAATTCAATTATTTCTGGATTCCCAACCCTGAAGGAGAGAAAACTAATTTGTGTGAGTGACTTGACATGATTATGAGCAATAGATTGTGCTAATAAAACATCATCAGTTAATATTACTGTATAGCACTGTGTGATTTATCAAAATAAAGTCTTATCTATTATGAAAAAACACACTAAGTTTATTCTTACCACGTTCTTCGTCAGTGATATTCAGAAATCGACTTTTCTATCAAAATAGTTATCCAAATCACTGACTGATAGCTTGCATTATCGTGAAAGACAAATTCACGTTTTGAATGTCTATTTTCGAAAGAACGGCAGTGGACAAGCGAAACGGAGAACCCTAGTCAGATACACGGAAGGGCATTCATCATCCGGTAGACAAAGAACGCCTTAAAAGTCATGAAGAATACGCCGTTCCTACTTGTCTCATTCTTTCAATCACTTCAACCGCTAACCACCTGTGAGTGCGCATAGCACACTATTTTGTAGAGACCCGGTAGATTAAGTAGAATCGCCTTCAGATGTGTCATTTCTTCACTTCATTTTTGTGACTGTATGAGTGAAACGCGAATTATACAGAAACTCCAGTTGAGGATTTTTCGTTTCACTCATCGGAAGCAGGAGAATAAAATCGATGAGTACAGAAATACTCAGTAGTACATG